GTTTTTAGGGTAATATGAGTACATATTAATTACCTAATTTGCATAATTAATTAATTTTCAACTTTTGATATATCAAGTAGTAATCATCATATGAGACTTGCTACATAGATCTTCTAGGATTATGCAGAGACCTGATTAATTTTAATTGGATATTAATTACCTAATTTGAATAATGTTCCACTGATATATAAACCACCACAAATTGGATTTTAATGAAACTTTTAAAGAGAACTATGCAGAAACCCAATTAGTTTTTGGTAAATATTTATACTTATTAATCTCCTAATTAACATAATTAATTAACACTGATATCTCAATTACTGATCATCACATTTGAATAAAATTTGGTACATAAATGCTCTAGAACAATAGACAGGTCTGATTAATTTTGGGTTAAAATTTGTTCATATTAATTCTCTAATTGGCATAATAATTAATAATTTTTTTGTTCTGTTCTGTTCATATTAGTTACCTGATTTACATAATTAGTTTTCAGCTTTTCCATCAATATCTCATGTACAAGTAATTTTGAATTAATTTTTAATGTGTCTTCAATACTCTCAGCACACGGGAGTTCTTTCTAAGTTTTCTTTGATTTTGCATTTTATGCTGCTGTTCACAAAACTCAGATAAAAAACTGAATTACTGTTCTTGTAAAAACAATAAACCATTGCATTTGTCCAATTATTATTAAATTTTAGTCACTATTTAAAAGGTATAATGCTTGTGAATGACTTCAATAATCTATTCCATGTGATGCAGACATGGTATTTATGTCAACTGTGAATCATTATAACATACTATCATGTTTTTATCTGAAATTCAACATTGGACAATTTTAAGATGTGTACAGTACTTCTATGCCATGGTCTGTTGAAATCCTTGTATCTCGCATTTAAATAAAACAGTCTGTCATTACTGTCATTTCCATTTTGTCACGAACATGATACATAAGTTGTTGACTGATTTGCTATGCATGTCTTGCAATTTGAATGTACGAAGATGACTGCATCAACTGTCGCTAATGTAAACTGTATATTTTTTAATTATTTTTAGATTCTCCACACTACTGGATGGGAATTCCAACAACAATTGGATACAGCAGTTGATTTGAATCAGCTCTTAGATGTCCATACCCATTATGTTAAGACTATTTATGAACGGTGCCTGCTCAACAAAAAGATGGGTTATGTACGGGAAGCTATCATCAAAGTATTAAATCTGGCACTGAACTTCCAGAAACGCTGGGATGGCGGTTTACATACTATTACGTAAGTAAAATAAGTTCTGAATTTTGTTTTGAAATATTTTGTATGGAATTTTTTTTTATCTAATTTCCATATAATGTATTTGCTCTGTTAGAAGCACATGTAAACCAACAGTTGCATTTATTGTATACGAACATTCAAAATTTGTGGTACAGGTTACAAGAAATAAAAAAATATCATTTTACGTTTTTACAGATAAAGCAAATTCCTAATTACATTTTTATTATATTTTTGATAATTTGTGTTTGAGAATCAAAATTGGAAATTGAAAATGCTTTATAATGCTTACAAAAAATAAGATTGTTGTATAAATCACGGACAAATAAAATAGCTGATTACATTTTTTAATTTGCCCAAGTCTACGAATTTTTATTTATTTAAATTACATTACTATGAAAATAAAACCAATTGATTACAGCTTACGAAAATACCCCTTGCTGACCCTCATAGATTTTTAGTCCCCGTTCGGACGGAGTCCGAAAACGGGGACTTATGTTTTGCCCTGTGTGCGTCCGTCCGTGCGTCCGTGCGTCCGTGCGTCCGTGATCACCTGTATCTCGAACATGCATGGACCGATTATGTTCAAACTTCACTCATACATCACACATTATATGGGACATATGCACATGCATTTTTTTCATGATCCAATTAACGATAGCCGAATAGCGGCCATTTTAAGGCCGAAAATGCATCAAAATGGCACATTTTCACCATTCCGGACCCGGATCTCAGTTATGCATGGACGGATTTCGTTCAAATTTGGTACATACATTAAACATAATAGGACCTTGATGCACGTCATTTTTTTTTTCGGATCAAGTTCGAAATGGCCGACTGGCGGCCATTTTGTTTTAAAGAATTCAGTTCTGGATCCGTATCCAAGACATGTCTGGATTGATCAAGTTCAAACTTCACACACACAAGGTACATCATGTCACAAATATGTATGTGCATTTGTTTCATGATCCCATTAACGATAGCCAAATGGCGGCCGCTTTAAGGCCGAAAATGCATT